CTTCCCACCAGGAGAGGGACCGTGTCCCCAACCCCCATCAGTCAGGGAGCCTGGAGGGCACAGGCCTGAGGGACAAAGCCTGCCCTCAGGCCCTGTCTGACCTGTCAGGCCCTCCTGGTCCTTGCCTGCCCTCCACTTCAGCAACGCTGGCCTCAGTACGGGGCCTCAACACGCCTAACTCACTGCCACTCAGGGCCTGGAAAGCTCCACCCCAGCCTCGCGGCCCCTCACTTCCGTCCAGCTCTGCTCTGATGTCGCTTTCTCAGAGAGGTCACCTTCTCTGAACTGCACCTCCTCAAAGAGCCCCCCAGCTTAGCCCCTCACCCCTCACTTTGCTCTGTACCCTCCGTAGTACCTGCCAGCACCTGACAAGTCACAGCTCTGGGGGAGCAGGAGTTTCCCCACTCTTCAGCGTCTCGGCACAAGCTGAACCAGAGAAGCCCTGTGGGCCCCTGCGAAGAGCCCCCGGGGGCCCTGGCTCTGCTCACCTCTGTCAGCATCCTTGAACTTGATAGTCCTGCGCCGGGACGGCCGGGGGCTGGCAGCAACCTCAGCCAGGAGCCCGGAGCTGCAGAAGCCCAGGCTGCTGCCCCGGTTCCTGAGCACCAGCTTCAGCTCCTGGTTCTCCTGGATGAGCTGCACGAGCCGCCGCAGCTCGTCGTTCTCCTGCGCCAGCCGCTGGGTCTCCTGCCGCAGGCCCTCGTAGCTGCTGAGGAGGGACATGCCCAGCCGCTGGGTCTCCTGCCGCAGGCCCTCGTAGCTGCTGAGGAGGGACATGCCCAGCCGCTGGGTCTCCTGCCGCAGGCCCTCGTAGCTGCTGAGGAGGGACATGCCCAGCCGCTGGGTCTCCTGCCGCAGGCCCTCGTAGCTGCTGAGGAGGGACATGCCCAGCCGCTGGGTCTCCTGCCGCAGGCCCTCGTAGCTGCTGAGGAGGGGCATGCCCAGCCGCTGGGTCTCCTGCCGCAGGCCCTCGTAGCTGCTGAGGAGGGACATGCCCAGCCGCTGGGTCTCCTGCCGCAGGCCCTCGTAGCTGCTGAGGAGGGACATGCCCAGCCGCTGGATCTCCTGCCGCAGGCCCTCGTAGCTGCTGAGGAGGGACATGCCCAGCCGCTGGGTCTCCTGCCGCAGGCCCTCGTAGCTGCTGAGGAGGGACATGCCCAGCCGCTGGGTCTCCTGCCGCAGGCCCTCGTAGCTGCTGAGGAGGGACATGCCCAGCCGCTGGATCTCCTGCCGCAGGCCCTCGTAGCTGCTGAGGAGGGACATGCCCAGCCGCTGGATCTCCTGCCGCAGGCCCTCGTAGCTGCTGAGGAGGGACATGCCCAGCCGCTGGGTCTCCTGCCGCAGGCCCTCGTAGCTGCTGAGGAGGGACATGCCCAGCCGCTGGGTCTCCTGCCGCAGGCCCTCGTAGCTGCTGAGGAGGGACATGCCCAGCCGCTGGGTCTCCTGCCGCAGGCCCTCGTAGCTGCTGAGGAGGGACATGCCCAGCCGCTGGGTCTCCTGCCGCAGGCCCTCGTAGCTGCTGAGGAGGGACATGCCCAGCCGCTGGGTCTCCTGCCGCAGGCCCTCGTAGCTGCTGAGGAGGGACATGCCCAGCCGCTGGGTCTCCTGCCGCAGGCCCTCGTAGCTGCTGAGGAGGGACATGCGCCAGCCGCTGGGTCTCCTGCCGCAGGCCCTCGTAGCTGCTGAGGAGGGACATGCCCAGCCGCTGGGTCTCCTGCCGCAGGCCCTCGTAGCTGCTGAGGAGGGACATGCCCAGCCGCTGGGTCTCCTGCCGCAGGCCCTCGTAGCTGCTGAGGAGGGACATGCCCAGCAGCGGCGGGCTGCAGCCGCCGACAGTCGGCAGGCGGGCTGGCCAGGGACAGCGGACCCCATCATTGTGAGGTCAGCAGCCGCCCTGCCCCCACGCCTCGGCTGCATTCCGGGGCTTCAGAGCCGGGACCAGCAGTTCTGACCCATGGGAACAGGGCGCACCTGATCTCTGACCTCTGGCCACCAGCTGCACTGTCCCCACCTGCCCAAGCCAGGTTGTGGAGCTGATGATGGTACCGTCTCTGAGGCAATTGGCCAGCACAGCCTCTAAAGGGGTCAGAGGGTGGATGATCGAGTTGCCCTGAGGGAGGGGGCACAGGGTCCAGCGGCAGCAGGAACCAGACAGTAGAGCCTGCGGGGGGGTCGGTCAGAGCCCCGGGGCATGAGTTGAGCCTATGAGTGCACTAGGTTGGGGCTGGAGGCAAAGAGAGGGACCAGACAGCACTGGGCCTGTTGTGGGAGTGGCGGGGAGTGGCACTGTCCCATGGAGGAAAGGCACCTTGGACAAGGCAACACATTCAGGGCTGCGACCTCAGGGAAGGGGGTGAAGTGGACAGCAAGGAGGCCCCAAGAGAGGTCTGCAGGCAACAGATTCCTGGGGGCAGGGGAGCCCCCCCAAGAGTGACAATCAGGTTTTCATTTCAGAACATGGGAAGGACTCTCTTCCTGTAATGAGCAGCTCTGGGCAGGGGCCATCGTTTGTGTCCTTTTCTTCCACTCTGATCAGCATTTCTTTCCTCTTTGATGGTCTGCTCCGTGCAGTTCCCACTTGTCAACTGGCAGGTTCTCCTAGATGGCATGTCCCTCCCCGCTGCTTCCGTGTGGCATGGGGAACCTCTGCAGGAGTTCTCACCAGTGCTGACTGTGGCGGGGGACACCTCCCCTCTGAAAGCAGTGTTCCAGGAGACGGGGTGGCAACTGCACTTAATCTCAATGGAAATGAGAACAATTTTGATAGTTCCTATAACTGGGAAATAATCCCAATTCTAAGGATACAGAGTAGAGTCTCTCTGACAGGACTGGAGATCTTACCCAAAAGAATGACAGGTTCAGGGCAGCCAGCCTCCAACTCAGACATTCCCTGGAAGCCAGAGGGTGGGCTGTGGTAGGCAGAATTCTAAGAAAGCCCCCAAGGTTTCCTGCCCTGGTGGACACACCCTGCATAATCCCAGGACTGTAAATAGAATGGATTTTACTCCCATGATTAGGTAATGTTCTCTGACAGCTGAGGTATAAAGGGAGATTATCCTGGGTGAGCCTGACTTAATTAGGTGAGCCCTTAAAAGGATGGTCTCTTCCTGGTGGAAGACGCAAAGCATGAAAGCAATTCCATGTACAGGCGATTCTCCATTGCTGGAGGGGGCCATGTGGCAAGGAATGTGGGTGGTCCCTAGGAGCTGACATATCATAGTCAAAATATTGACAGACAAAGAGAAACCTCAAAAGTTACAAGATAAAAATGACTCATCACACATAAGAAAACCCAGTAAGATCGACACCTAACTTTGTTTCATCAGAAACAGTGGAGGCCACGACACAACGGGATGACATGCCCAACATCATTAAAAAACTCAGGCAGGGGCTGGCTGGTGGTGTAGTGCTTAAGTTCACACTCCACTGCAGCGGCCTGGGGTTCACAGGTCACTTATGCACCGCTCATCAAGCCATGCTGTGGTGGCATCCCACGTACAAAAAAATAGAGAGAGATTGCCACAGATGTTAGCTCGGCAACAATCTTCAAAACAACAGATTGGCAACAGATGTTAGCTCAGGGCCAGTCTTCCTCACAAAAAAAAAAAAAAAACCTCAGGCAGGAAGTCTATATTCTGGAAAATTATCTTTTGGTAATTAAGGTGAAATAAAGACAATCCAAGATAAAGACAGAGAATTTGTTGCTAGCAGATCTCCAGGTTACAAGAAATACTAAAGAAAGTTCATCAAGCTGAAAGGTAGTCACATCAGATAGTCATTCAAGTCAATTTCCCAATGCAGCCATCCTGTGCCCAGACTTCTGACTTATAGGCTGTGAGTTAACAAACTGATGTAGTTTAAGCCGCCATGTTTGTGGGAACTTGTTACACAGCAATAGAAGATGAGTGCAGCCTCCTGTGTTGAAGGAAACCCAGGACCTGATCATAAAAGCAGAGGCAGTGCCTTGAGACCCAGCCTGGGATCTTTGAGTGGAGACACTCGAATCTTGCACCCCCAAACTCCCATGAGCCCTTCTTCCTGGCAGAAGCAGCCCCATCTCCCTCGCTGGAGGAGCCTGGCAGTGGCCTCATCTGGGGCATTCCCGGCCGCCCACAACTGCGGCCGCCCATGGAGGCAGGTGCCGCCCTCCCCTCGAGAGCTCGGGTCCAGTCTCATCCCTTGGAATCCGAGCCGGCCTCGAGCCTTACTTTGACCAGAATAATGCAGCAGAAGCGACAGCGTGCCTGTGCCAAGACTTGATCTTGAGGGGCCTGGTGGGGCAGGACTTCTAGGAGGGCTGGATGACCCTCTCACGCTGGATATTGACCAAAGGGCAGACAGCAGTCATTCGAGGAGGTCTACGAAGCCTTGGTAAGGACAGCAGGAATCTGTGACATTTGGGCCAGAACTTGCTCCCTCCCAACCCAGCTCCAGGTCGTGAGAGCTCTGCTCCGAGAGGGTGCGGCCGAGAACATGGGGCTCCCTGTCCCCCAGCTCCCGGTTGTAGGCGGAGGTTCCACACTGGGAAGGACGAGCTGAGAGGATAAGGTATACCGTCCCCTGCAACACCTACTTGTGGATCAGAGGTATCACTCTGGGTGAAGCAGGCTTCCTCCCCACCCCCAGCCCCCTCAGACCCTGCCCAGAACAAGAGGCGAGACAGAAACACTAGCAGCTCCACGGAGACTGAGCGCGCTGACTTTCTTCGGACATCAAGTGTGACATTGTGGAAGACAATGGAGATCTTAGTGGTGAGAAATTATAAAAAAGCTAATGGCACAATGAAACTAATAGCAACACATGAAAAGGCAGCCAGCCAGGCGTTTAACAAGGAGAACCAGGGAAACAGACAGCTAAGGTGGACCCTGTTCAGATTGCAACTGTCCCCCGGAGTCCAGAGGCTGTGGACAGGCACCAGGCTGCGCCCACTCGGGGGCTACGGCTCCCTGGGGTGTCGGCTTCCTGCAGCTGCTCTAACAAATTACCACAAACCTGAAGACTTAGAACAACGGAAGTTTATTCTCTTACAGCTCTGGACACGCAAGCTGTCTTACGGGGCTAAAATCAAGGTGTTAGCAGGAGTGCTTCCTCCTGGGGTTTCCAGGGGAGAATTTGTCCCTTGCCTCGTCCAACGTCCAGCACTCCTTGGCTTCTGGCTGCATCACTCCAGTCTCTGCCTCCGTGGTCACCTCACCTTCTCTTCTTCTGTAACCAAATCTCTCTCTGCTTCCACCTTAAAAGGATTACATATAGGGCTCGCCTGGGTAATCCAGAACAATCTCCCAGTCTCCAGATTCTTCATCACACACACAAAGTCCCTTCTGCCCTATACGGTAACGTTCTCAGCCTTTGGGGATTAGGACCTGGACTCCTTTGGCAGGTGTTCTCCAGCCTGTGAGACTGGTGGACACAGGGCAGACCTGAAAGCATTCTCCATCAATTGATCCGTCAGGGAAGGACGGTGCCTCACTGGCTCGGAGAGCGTAAGCACAGCCTTTGCCCGATCAGTGCTGAAGCCTAAGCTGTGCTGACTCAGATGTGACTTCTAGGAATCCAGGCTGAAGCGTAAGAGCTAGGGGGTACTGAGCAGCGACATCAGGAGCCACACCATGTTGGGGAATAGACCTCACAGAACTGGTCCAGACCAGCTGCTAGACTAACAAACTAACAGATCAGCAAGAGCAACCAGCCCAAGGTGGGACTGGCTAATCACAACCCAGAGTCGCTACAAGAGGTCATCTAGAATGCCAAGTTTTCAACAAAAAATTATGAGACATGCAAAGACACAGGATAGTGTGACAGCTGCACAGGAGAGGTAGGCTACACCATCCGCCTTCGAAGGGGCCCAGATTTGGGACTTAGCAGACAAAGACATCAAAGCTTTGCTTATGCAAGGCCCACGAACAGAGTGGCTGTGGTGGGTCTGCATGGGTCCCCCTGCCACTGCTGCACCCAGCCTGTGGCAGCAGACACCCGTGACCTCAGATCCCTGCCGCCTGGTGTGGGCAGTGACTTGTGCTTCCCTGAGCTGAACCCTGTTCTGGACACAGCTTTGCCCTCCCTGCCTGGAGTTCCTCTCAGCACCTCCACCCCAGACTTGCCAAATACCTTCCTTCCTGTTGGACATGCGGCACACCGAGGACCCATCTTAGAGCTGATGAACTGTGGCAGTGAGCTCACGCCCCTGGGGCTCTCTGGTCTTCCCAAGTTCCCTGTCAGCCTAATAGAACGGTGACACCATCTGGTGAAGGCCCTCCCACGTGCCAGTCCCCTGGAGGCCCCTCTCGGGGTGGGACGCTGCTGAGATGTGCCGCTACCACTCTAGTGTGTTGGGGCTCCGGGGACAGGTTCACTGTGAAGTCACAAGGCCCAGCTCAGGCCTCTCATTGACACAACCCCTTCCAGGGCAGGACCCTGACAAAGTGTTCATATGGTTGCATATTTTGTAAAATTTGCAAATGTGAAATAATTTAATCACAATCAGTTAAGGCTTTCTCTTCCCATTGCAACCAGCTTTCGGTCACTTCCTCCCCTGCTGCCTGGAGCTGGAGGGGGCGCTGTGGGGTTCACTCCGGGAGGTTGAGTTGGGGGCACATTTGGTTTGAGTTTCGCAGGGACAGTCACTTCCTGGTAGAGTTAAGCTACTGCTGTCATTCTGGTATAGAAGGGGCTTCCAGGAACACAGCCCCCTCCCTCTGTGCTGCATGTCATGACACGTCAGGCTGATGGAATTGGCTAATGAGTGGTGTCCACTCAAAAAATATCTAAGTCGCAAACAAGAACACCCAAAAGGCCCCGAAATCTTACGGCTCACATGTAAAAGAAATTTGATAGAAGTTTCCTCAAATTAACAATTCTAAACATTTATACAATATTATCCAAAGGAGCTGTTACTGAAAGTAACTTTTCCAAGCTATAAATAAAAATAAACTTTGATCAAACGCATCAGAGGACACACCGAATTGTGTTCTTTCTCTATGTAGATGGTGACATCATAAAAGTGTTGTCGTCTCAAGAGGCCATCAGAGTATGCACCCAAAAAGCTTAAGGGAAGCAAGTTAGGCAAACATATCAGAAGTTAATTCACGACACTATGGTGGTTTTCTGTTTTCTGTTTGTGATATCGGTCAATTTTAAAAATTTGTGTTACATGTTGGATTTCTTTTCTCTATTCAGTTAATTTTGGATACATTCTTTGTCTTCTCTTTCTTAAAGAGGGCCCTTTGTGAAGAGTTAACCCAGCCGGCCTGAGACTGCTCTCCGTCAGAGGCATGCTTGCAAGTCGGCTGGTGTCTGGGCACGTACATTTCCAGAGGATTGCTCCCATCCCCTGAGAGGAGTGGCGACCGGGCCTAAACTGTTCACACAAACAAACAGGCTGTATGCTGAACTCCTGCTTTCCTTCTGGGAGTCTGGAATTGGGTACATGCCAGGCAGAGGGCGACCAGCCCCCACGAAAACCCTGGATACTGAGTCTCCGGTGAGCCTCCCTGGTGGACAACACTTCACACACGCTTTCACCCCTTGTTGCTGGGGCAATGGAGTGTGTCCTGTCCCATTTCTCTGGCAGAGGACTCGGGAACTTTGCACCTGACTTCCTCTGACTTCATCCCAGTTGCCTTTTCATTTGCTGATTTTGATTAATATCCTTTCTCTGTAATAAATCTTAGTCGTGAGTAGGACTATATGTGCTGAATTTTATGAATCCTTCTAGCAAATCACTGAACCCAGGAGTGGTCTTGGGGATCCCCAGCACAGCTCCCAAATTTCTATAAGCTTTAAACACCCAAGACCTGGATCCACCCACGTGTGCGAGCTACGGCTAGAATACAAGGGTCAGAGAACCAAGGGGGCAGGAATGGCCCATAGCATAAGTCGTAGATGCCGTCAGGTTGGAGGTCCTAGTTCCCAGGGGTGGGGAACATTCCACCAGGGGAGACAGTAAGCGTTCCAATGATCTGGAAGAAACAGCCACGGCCAGGCCACTTTGGGCTCCTTAGGCCAAGGAACATTATCCTGATTATCTTGAGCTCTAGGGCCAATACTGCACAACAGGGGCTGAGCACCGTGGGGCTTCCACTTGCATCAGTGGACAACTACAGAAATCTCTATCCGGTAAAAACAGGGACTGTAAGAGCTCAAATCCCTGAGGGAAGGAGGCCTGGGTAACTCCACCAGTAACCAGCTGGGTCCAGCTGAAGAGCTGAGGATAGGGAGATTGCAGGTGGCTGGCAGCACAGGATGACGGCCATCATAGCCTCGGACCGGGTGCAGCGGCAGAGCTGTAGCTGGCTCACTAGCCCTTGTGCTGCAGTCTTCTAGGAGCCCACCACCTTGGAAGGGATGCTGTGCCTGTGGGACTGGGGCTCTAGCCCACCATAGTATGTCCATCCCACCTACTCTTCTAACAGCCTGACGTTGACCCTGGTCCTACTGAGGGGTCTGTGTCCCCTCCCCTTGAGGCTGGGCAGACTTTTGTGTCCATCTTGACCCACAGAGTCTAGCAGCAGTGGCACCATGTGATTTCTGAGCCTAGGTCTTAAAAACACCATGCACGTCCACCTTGTTGTCTTGGGAAGTCAACTTGGAACCCAGGCACCATTCTTTGAGGAACCCATGCTGCATGGACAAGCCACGTGTAGGTGTGATGTCTCGACAGCCAGCATCAACCACAAAAGATGTGAGGGAGGAAGCCTTCGAGGTGATGCCAGCCCCAGCCGCCATCCTCAGTGACCGCAGGGAGGAAAGATCCTAAGTGCAAACCATCTAGCTAAGCCCAGGCAACCGCCAGAACTGCAAGAGATAAAACAATCATTTTATGTTATTTGAAGTCACTAAGGTTATGCAAGAGATAAACAGATATATAACCCCTACACAATCCCTTTTTGGAAAGGGTGAGGGTATCTTCACTCTTAAAGGGAAAAAGGAGCCCATTTTATTGCATTGGATATAATGGGAGGGCAAGAGAAGACTTGAAAGATGCCACATGTGGGCCATGTGGGGACACGGGCCTGTGCACCTTCCTAGGCCCCCATGAATCTCGCCTCCTCTTGGTGAGTGTAGCAACTCTGCTGGTTCACCCTTCCACTTACAAACTGGAAGTGTGGGATCTGGCTTCCTAAGCACTGCAGAGGGGCTGAATAATGCAACTGGTAGACGTGGAAACAAGCTCCCTGCTAGTGCCCTTGACCACTGGGAAACAGAGGTACCTGGAGACAGGAGGTACGTGCAAAGGGAAGCCCCTCATTTCTCACTCCTGTAGACCTACCAGCAGTTCCGCTGGATTGAACTGACATGAGATGCTGGAATACACAAGGCCAGGAAACGCCAGAGAGTAACAACACAATGTCAGTAACATTCCGCAGACTGACAAGGATTATGTAAAAAACTGTAACAATTGTTCTTGGTAGGAAAGGAGGGAAAAGGGAATTCACACTTACAGGCTTCACCCAGCAAGTCCCTATCCTGAAGTTCCATCCCCCAAGGGCAAGCCCCTGAACACACACCCACTGTCCACAATGCGGCAGTGGCCAGGATACATCCTGATATGCACATCCATGGGTATCAAGCAGCTAACAAAAAATTAATGATAGTTCCACAGGACTATTTGGATGGATTTCATAAGGTATTTTTTGAGTGAAAAACAGAAAAGTGTGTATGAAGTATCATCTTAAGGAAATTCACCTATTTTATCCTCAAAACCACTGTATTTGGGGAACAGCCAAAACAATCACAACGCATGATGGGCACCCGATGGCGAACCTGCAAACAAAGAAGGGGAGCTGCTTTTACGTAGAAAAAGGAGGAGAGCGAGGGGCTGTTTCAAAAGAAAGTTCATTGGGGTAGAGTAACCGTTCAGGGCAGGAACAGCTTCTCATTGGCTGAGCTGCAGTGCTTCTCATTGGCTGAGCTGTGGTGTTTCTTATTGGCTGAGCTGCTGTGTTTCTCATTGGCTGAGCTGAGGCATTTCCCATTGGCTGGACTAAAGTGTTTCTCATTGGCTGAGCTGCAGTGTTTCTCATTGGCTGAGCTGCAGTGTTTCTCATTGGCTGAGCTGCAGTGTTTCTCATTGGCTGAGCTGCAGTGTTTCTCATTGGCTGAGCTGTGGTATTTCTCATTGGCTGAGCTGCAGTGCTTCTCATTGGCTGAGCTGTGGCACTTCTCATTGGCTGAGCTGTGCTGTTTCTCATTGGCTGGGCTGTTACCAGGTGGGGAGAAACATCTCCCTTCAGAAGTAAAGCAGTGGTACTTCCTGTTGAGATGCAAGCGCCCATCTCTTCCTGTTTGGTGTAATTGACAGGTGTGATGGGATGAGAGCTCCGAGACAGGCCTCCGAGACTCCAGTTTACTTGAGGTTTCTTTTGTTAATTTCCACAGAAGTGAACCCATTTCAAAAAATAACCAGAGTTCCAAAAGCCACTGTATGGCGTACATGTACAGCTGCAGGTATATGTGTATGATTTGATGTAACTATGAGAGTACGGAGAAAAACATGGAAAGAACCATTTATTAGGTTAAGGTAGATGAGGGGTTGCGACAGAACAACCATGCCAACAAGGAAAAGAAAAATTGCTCTAAAAAGAATGTGACCATGTGTACGTATAATATAAATTATGTATTGGGCTTTGTCTTGTTTTGTTTTTGCTGAGGAACACTGCCCCTGAGCTAACATCTGTGCCAGTCTTCCTCCGTCCTATACATGGGTCGCCGGCACAGCATGGCTGACGAGCATGTAGGTGGGAGCCCAAGCTGGGGACCGAGGCCGACCAAACCGCGCCGCTGAAGTGGAGCGCGCCCAACTTCACCACTAGGCCACGGCCGGCCAACGTAGCTGTTTTTTCGAAAGAACAAATGTAAAAACTAAACGGTAAGGAAAGGAGAACAGGAAGCGCGTCTCAGCTTGGATGAACGCGTTTATGTCCAAGAGCTAGACGCCATCAGAGACCAAAGGATGCTTCCTCCCAGCAGTGGCTGCTCTCGCCCAGCGAACCTGGAGGGAGGCTCCAGGCGTCAAAGCGCAGCACAGGCGAGCCGGCTGCCTCGGGAGGAGAGCGCGGAGGAGCCCTCGGGCCCCTGGGACCGGTCTCAGGCGCGCGCCGGCGACGGCAAGGGCGGCGAGGACCGAGTGGGTCCCCGGGGCCTTGGGGACCGCCCCCACCCCACTACTCGACGGGGCGCGACCGGGAGATTCTTCCCCAGGGGGTCTCCACCCCCGACAGCCGCAGGACAGCTCCCCCAAGCGGCCGCGGGTACAGCCTCCTCTCCCCGGATCAGCTCTGCCCAAGTTCCACGGGACCGGAAGTGAGGAAAGTGGCGCAGCCAGGAACCGTAGTTCTCTGAGGCTGGAAGTCGGGAGCCGGACCACCGGAAACCGCCAGGAGATCGGAAGTGGGGGTCAGGGCCGCCGGGAACTGTAGTTCTCAGAGAGGCAGAAGTGGGACTGGCGGCGGGCGGCATGGCGGGGCTGGAGCTCCTGTCGGACCAAGGCTACCGCGTGGACGGGCGGCGCGCCGGGGAGCTGCGCAAGATCCAGGCGCGAATGGGCGTGTTCGCGCAGGCCGACGGCTCGGCCTACATCGAGCAGGGCAACACCAAGGCGCTAGCAGTGGTCTACGGGCCGCACGAGGCGAGTGGCTGTGCGTGCGCGAGCAGGGCGGCTCCGGCGGCGGGCGGAGGAATCGGGCGGCAGCCGCTCTGCGGGGTGCGCGGGGCCGCCAGACTGAGCAAGGCTCGGGAGGCGACGGACATGCCCAGGGCCGCTGCTCACTCGGACTAAAAGCCGAAGTCCTTGCTGTGATGCACGGTGGTCCCTGCCTTTCTCGTCGGCCCCTGTCCCCTGCGCTCTCCACTCTTTGCTGTTCCTCAAAGCGCCAGGCGCGCTCCCACTCGCTCCCTACCTCTCAGCTCTCTACTCCGACATCACCGTCCGGATGACGCCTCCCCAGACCCACCTTATCTACGTGGCAAGTCCCCTTCCCTACGACCACACACCTCCCTGCCTTTCTGCACCTGTCACCTCAGACGTTAACTTAGTTAACGCAGGCATGAAAAAATGTTCGCTTAGCGCCCTGAGTCTAGGCGTCCAGTCTTCCAGCAGGAGTGGACGAGTAGGGGAAACAGGCATGGCACGTTTGCAGAGCAGAAAGGCTCCTGGTGCGGGAGATGAGGAATAATTCCAGATGAGATTGCGGGGTTTCTAGGGAGGGGAGAACTCAAGGCTTTGTAGACCAGGGAGAAGATTTAGGATTTTATCTCACATGTGATGGGAAGCGTTTGGAAGGTAAGTAGGATATGTGGGTATGTATAGGAGAATCAGACTTGATATTTGTAAACAGGCTTTGCCTTTGGCTACAAATGGAAAATGGGTTGGGAGGAAATGAGACAAGGATGAAAACAGGGAGGCCTGTTAAGAGAGAGGAGATCCAGAGGTGATGGTGGCTTAGAGACTGGCTGGTGGTCCTTTCTCAGGCTATATTTTGGACATAAAGTAGTTGCCTTTGTTGAGATGTTGGAGGTAGAGGGAGAGGAAGGAGAGAGACTAAGATTCCGGGCCTAAGCCAGAGGAAGGGGTAGTGTGAGCTGGGAGGAGTGTGCCTAGCTCATGTGTCCTTCCTCCCCCAGATCCGGGGCTCACGGGCACGAGCCCTGCCAGACAGGGCACTGGTGAACTGTCAGTACAGTTCTGCCACCTTCAGCACAGGTGAGCGCAAGCGGCGGCCACATGGGGACCGGAAGTCCTGCGAGATGGGCCTACAGCTGCGTCAGACCTTCGAGGCAGCCATCCTTACACAGCTGCATCCACGCTCCCAGATTGATATTTACGTGCAGGTGAGCGGGCAGCAGCCCTCAAGCCAGGGAGGGGATGAAGGCTGTGAGAGGGGGAAGGCGGTCAGCAGCCTAATGGACTGATGCCATTGTGTGGGGGGGTTCCCTGCAGGTGCTGCAGGCAGATGGTGGGACCTACGCGGCTTGTGTGAATGCAGCCACGCTGGCAGTTATGGACGCTGGGATCCCCATGCGGGACTTTGTGTGTGCCTGCTCAGCTGGCTTTGTGGACGGCACAGCCCTGGCAGACCTCAGCCACGTGGAGGAAGCAGCTGGTGGCCCCCAGCTGGCCCTGGCCCTGCTGCCGGCCTCAGGCCAGATTGCACTGCTTGAGATGGACGCCAGGCTGCATGAGGACCACCTGGAGCAGGTGTTAGAGGCTGCTGCCCGGGCCGCCCGTGATGTGCACACCCTGCTGGACCGTGTGGTCCGGCAGCATGTACATGAGGCCTCCATCTTGCTGGGGGACTGAGCACCCCGCCCCCCATGCCCAGAATAAAATCCACACAGTCCACTGTACTTGGATCTCCTCACAGCACTTCTGTGCCTTCAGAGCCTGGCTCCTGGGGGTGACTAGGGACCCTCCCATACACATGAACTACACACCTCTTGCAGCCTCAGGATTCAGACCCTGAAGAAGGTGGAAGAGGTGTGTCCCTGGGCGGAGAGAGCAGCTTGTGCCAGGAGGGGTTCAAGGCAGCTGAGCAGTGAAGCGCGGCCTGGTGGAATGAGCCAGGCCATCAGACTGTGGAGTCTTTTATCCTCCCCTCAGCACATCCAGGACCCTTAGCATAAGGGCTGAAGGAGGACTCGGCTGGCTGTGGGTACCCACCATGAAAATGTGGGGGCCATATCCCACATTTTCTGGATTATGGCTTGGATTTAATGGCCCCTTTGATCCCGAGCAATGGGCTCACTCTGCTCACTGCGATCTTAGCTGAGAAAGGAAGTTTAATTAGATTAGCTGGCAAATCGGAACATGGGTGACTAATGTGTCAAAAACCAATCTTCAAGGATTACAGAATCTTGAGGCAGTTATATAGAGAAAACGGGCAGTGAGGATGGGGTCCAGGGATGTCGGTCACCAGGCATCGCATTGTTCCATTCTTCTGTCAGCTGTGATGGCTACCTTGTAGGTCTGTTTCCCACCTGTGGTCAGCCTGTTCCCGGAGAGAAACTCATAGAACAAAGTTTTAATTTATCAAGGTATCAGGGACTACACACATAAGCAGAGGCCATAAATCCGTACACCACATGAATTTTTTAGAGTATGTGCAGAGCAGTGAGTAGTCACAGAGGAGGGGCTGGGGTCATTTAGCATAAAAAGATGAGCTCACTTATGCTCACTTACACCTTTCCCCCTAGGAGAGCCCCTTGGGCCTGTCCTGCTACTTACCTTGGTCTCCAAAACTACAACAGACACATGTTCTCATCTGGAGTCTTTTCTCCCCAGCTCTGACCCTTCCTCAGTGAACACACACACTCCCCCCTGCCCCACTACTGCACTTTCCTCTTCAGCCGGCTCCCTCTTCCTCTACCTCGGGCCCTCATACCTGCCTGAGCCCTGATCACCAGCCCCTGCAGCCTGCACCCAGGAGCTGCTTCTCCCTTAATATCCCAGGCACCTCCACCTGGACAGGAGTGCTTCCCACTTCTTACTCTACATGCCCCTGCTCCTTTGAAACCCGTTTTGGCCCAAAGTACCACCCACCTTCCTCCCTGTGGTCATCGGATCCCGATGACCTCGGTGCTTTTTTGGTGATGGACATCCATAGGAATGAGTTGGCGTACCCTTTGGCCTCTCAGTTCACAGAAGACTCCTTACCTCCCACCCACCCCACGGCACTCAGACCTGTCACTGCCAGCAGCAGCACCTTCAGAATCTCCTGCGGGCGTCCATGCTCTGGTCGCCGCCTCCGGTTTTTCACCCACCTGTCCTATTCATCGCCCTTCTCGGATTTTCCTGTGACCCTTCGAGCTGGAACTTTCTTGCTGCCCCCTACCAGCCCGGGCCGCGGCCCGTCGTCTTCATTGCTCTCCTCCGGCACCGTACACTGCCAGCCCAAGCCTCCCGGAGACCGCCCTCGGTGGGCTGGAAGCCCGAGCCCCCTCCCTTCCTGCGGGCTCTGTTCCGCGCATGCGCAGCGGGAGTAACCGGGGAGGGGCGGGTACAACGAGGACACATACGCATGCGCAGCGGCGCGAGGGCCGCCGGGACCGGAAGTGCGGCGGGCGCGGAGCCCCGGGTCTGACAGAAGCTGTGCGCCGGGCCGGGGCCGTAGCTGGGGGCGGGAGCGCGGTCCCGGAGCCGCCCCGCCCCGCCATGGGCCTCCTGTCGGACCCGGTGCGCCGGCGCGCGCTCGCCCGCCTCGTGCTGCGCCTCAACGCGCCGCTCTGGTGAGGGTGGGACCCGAGGGCGGGGGCTGGAGCTACCGGCGCCCCTCGGGCTGCTCGCGCCCGGCGCTCCCGTCCGCCGGCGTCACTCGGGGCATCAGGCCCGGCCTCAGCTTTCTCGTCCTCCAGCCCGGGTGCGGGGACTCCGGGCCCAGCCCCTTCAGACACGCCCCCTCGACCCCCCGTGCAGAGGGTGAGGCCGCCGCCGGCGTGCGGACGCGCTAACGCCCCGGCGGCCGCTTCGTCCTCTCTCCCCGCAGCGTGCTGAGCTACGTGGCGGGCATCGCCTGGTTCCTGGCGCTGGCCTTCCCGCCGCTGACCCAGCGCACGTACATGTCGGAGAACGCCATGGGCTCCACCATGGTGGAGGAGCAGTTTGCGGGCGGAGACCGTGCGCGGGGCTTTGCCCGGGACTTCGCCGCCCACCGCAGGAAGTCGGGGTGAGCGGTGGAGCGGTGGGGATGGAGGAAGCCGCGGCGCGCGAGGCCGGGGAGCTCTGCTCAGACGCTGTTTGTGTCCCCAGGGCTCTGCCCGTGGCCTGGCTGGAGCGGACGATGCGGTCAGTGGGGCTGGAGGTCTACACGCAGAGTTTCTCCCGGAAACTGCCATTTCCAGATGAGACCCACGAGCGCTACGTATTGTTGGGGAGGGGTGTGCCTGGGACACAAAGCAGCTTGAGGGGGTGGCTGGAGGCCAGGGAGCTCAGCGGGGGAGTGGCCTGGGTCCAGGGAAATTCCTGGTGGGCATTCCAGGGCCAAAAAGGCAGGGGCTTCAGCCTGGGGGGGGCGTCGAGCTGAGGCTTCCCCACCAATACTGCGCGCAGATGGTGTCGGGCACCAACGTGTACGGTATCCTGCGAGCCCCTCGCGCCGCCAGCACCGAGTCCCTGGTGCTCACCGTACCCTGTGGCCCGGACTCCACCAACAGCCAGGCTGTGGGGCTGCTGCTGGCGCTCGCTGCCCACTTCCGGGGTGAGGCTCAGGGGCTGCTGCTGGCAGGGGAGGGTTTGGCTATTGCCCCAGGCCCTGCCGACACTGCTTCTGGCCTCCAGGGCAGATTTACTGGGCCAAAGACATCATCTTCCTGGTGACGGAACACGACCTTCTGGGCACTGAGGCTTGGCTTGAAGCCTACCACGACGTCAATGTCACTGGTGGGTGCCCTGCCCTGCCCTTGCCCCTCTCTCGGGGCCACTGTCCTCACCAGACCCCGTGGGCAGCTCATTCGCCTGCTCCCACAGGCATGCAGTCATCCCCTCTGCAGGGCCGGGCTGGGGCCATCCAGGCAGCGGTGGCCCTGGAGCTCAGCAGTGATGTGGTCACTAGTCTCGATGTGGCCGTGGAGGGGCTCAACGGGCAGCTGCCCAACCTCGACCTGCTCAACCTCTTCCAGACCTTCTGCCAGAAAGGGGGGCTGCTGTGCACATTGCAGGGCAAGGTAGGGCCGCCTGCCTGGGGGGGGTGCAGGGTCAGTGTGTTGGGATTATCTGACCCTTTCCCCAAACCCTCTAAGCTGCAGGCCCAGGACTGGACATCGATAGACGGGCCACTGCAGGGTCTGCAGACACTGCTGCTCATGGTCCTGCAGCAGGCCTCTGGCCGCCCCCATGGCCCCCATGGCCTCTTCCTGCGCTACCGCGTGGAGGCCCTAACACTACGTGGCATCAATAGCTTCCGCCAGTATAAGTATGACCTGGTGGCAGTGGGCAAGTAAGCGACTTCTGGTCCCCCCTTTTCTTGCTTGGGGTGGAGTGGGGGTGCCTGGGGGGTCTGACGGGTCGTAACTCTGCCCCACGCCCTGCAGGGCTCTGGAGGGCGTGTTCCGCAAGCTCAACCACCTTCTGGAGCGCCTGCACCAGTCCTTCTTCTTCTACCTGCTGCCCGCGCTCTCCCGCTTCGTCTCCATCGGCCTCTACATGCCTGCTGCTGGCTTTTTGCTCCTGGTCCTTGGTCTCAAGATATCCTCTGCCCACTGCTGTCCACTTGTGGCCAGCCTCAAGTCCCCTCCACTCTAGGCTAGGGAGAGCCCTCCATCCTCAGGGTAGGGAGTGGGGGGTGAGCCCTGGGTCCCCTACCTGGCATATCCTATCACACCTCTCGTCAAGGTCCTTGACTAGGCCATGCTCTGGAACTGTGGATGCAGCTGCATGAGGCCGGAGTGGGCCCTGAGGAGGCTGGGGGCGCCTCTGGACCTAGTCCTCTCCCACCCCAAGCACAGGTGATGATGCCCACCTCCTGCTGTTCGGGTGGGCTTCTAGGGCCTGGGTGGTGGTTACTGCTGCCACTCAGTCTCAACTGACAGAGTGGTGGAGCGGATCCTTGGGGCTCCCCTGGCCCCAGGGACCATCTCCAAGTGCCTGTGTGCCCTGCAGGGCATAGGGCTGGCCTCGCTTGTGGCGCCCTTGCTGATCTCACAGGCCATGGGCCTGGCCCTCTATGTCCTGCCAGTGCTGGGCCAACATGTGGCCACCCAGCACTTCCCTGTGGCTGAGGCTGAGGCTGTGGTGCTGACACTGCTGGCCATCTATGCAGCTGGCCTGGCCCTCCCACACAACACTCACTGGTGAGGAGCTGGGCTGGGTGGGTGCGGACAGGGGCCACCCTGGACATGCGAGCAGCTGCCTCTGAGCCCCTTGCCTTGCAGGGTGGTGAGCACTCAGGCCTCGGACAGGGGCTGGATGGCACTGAAGCTGGTAGCCCTGATCTACCTGGCACTACAGTTGGCCTGCATCACCCTCACCAACTTCTCACTGGGCTTCCTGCTGGCCGCCACCATGGTGCCGGCTGCTGCGCTCACCAAGCCCTCTGGGCCCCGGTATGTTCTGGTCAGCCCAACCACAGAACCCACCATGATGTGCCCCTCACTCCCAGTGCCTGTGCCCTCACCTCAGAGCCCACACTGACCCTGGTTCTCCACCCAGGCCACTTTATGGCACCCTGCTGGTGCTGACAAGTCCGGCAGCCACACTCCTAGGCAGCCTGTTCCTGTGGCGAGAGCTGCAGGAGGCACCGCTGTCACTGGCCGAGGGCTGGCAGCTCTTTCTGGCGGCGCTGGCACAGGGCGTGCTAGAGCACCACACCTATGGTGCCCTGCTCTTTCCGCTGCTGGCCCTGGGCCTCTACCCCTGCTGGCTGCTCTTCTGGAATGTGCTCTTCTGGAAGTAACGTCCGCCTGCCCTGTGGCATGAAGATTAGGAAGGGAACTCCCCAAACACCGCCACATTCTCTCCTTCCTGGAAAATAAACAGGTGTTTTGTTTCAGTTGCCCTTTGGGGTCTTGGCCCCCTGTCTGCTGTCTGTGTGGGGCTCCAGGGCCTGTGGGTGAGAAACTCTGCCTGCAGGGCTTGGCATACCACATGCCTCCTTTCTAGAGGGCACTGCCCCAGTCCACTTACTAGATGGCATCCCTGCCAGCTGGGGTACTGGTGGCAAGAGTGAGGGCCCCAGCTGCATCAGCCTCAGGAGGAGAGCCTTGGTCGGACACTGGTACCAGCTGGCCCCAGAGATTAGGATCTGAAAGTGACAAGTGCAGACCCTGCCCCTGCCCCAAGTGCATGTTCCCAGCCCTGGAGGTCTCTGCATGTCACAGTCCAGTGCTGTGGAAATCACGGTGCTGCGTAAGAGGAAATACCATGGGCAGGGCTTGGGGTCCCCATAGGAGCTGAGGCACCCAGAGACTGCACAACACCATCTTTAGTGCTGGGGCTAAGAGGACAAAGCTGGAGCCCTGCAGAGGAGGCCCAGGCAAGGCAAGAACCTTAGTGTGTGCTTGGGATGGAACAGGGAGGAGCACCCACCCCAACCTCCTTGGAGCTGAACCAGCCCAGGCCAAGTGCCCACAAGGTGCAGGGCTGAGGCAGAGCCCACCCGGCAGCGCCCAGGAGCTAACAGGACACAGGGACACAGCCCCAAGGGGGAGGGCACTGAAGGGCTGGCACAGAGAGAAGCTGGTGATTGTCCCAAGATCCCTGAAAGGAAGTGGGACATCCGGAGTCCATTCTGGAGAAGAGAAAAAAAAAGCAAAGCGTGGCCCTCTGGTGATGCCAGGGCCACATCAGGCCCAAGAGACCTCTCCTCCCAGGAGGGCCAAGGTGCTCCCGCCAGTACCCCACAGGGCAGTGAGAAAAGTACAGCCTTGTACAGGCCTCAGTATTAGAAGGGAGGCGGAGTTGCACCGCCTGTAGGATCAACTCAAAGGACCAGTGTCCCTTCAGTACCGTGTCCTGAAGGGTGTGGCCTGGGAAGTCCTGAGGAGGAAGCTCTGGGCCCCACTCCTGCCACCAAAGCCTGTCTCTATGGCAGGACTTGCATTCCCATAGGAGGCTCCCCTTGACACCCGGGGCTCCATAGTGAGGGGATCAGCTGGTGTTCCCCCCAGGCCCAGCACCTGGAGGCATTCTCTTCAGGGCCTCTCTCCAGAGAAGTCACCGCTGGTCTCCTGTTGAGGGGGCATGTGCGTTCTATGTCCAGCATTGTTGGGGATGGGGGTGGGGCTCGGGTGCTTGGAGACCCCACTGTGACTAGCAGCCTGTCTTTGACCCACTTGTTCCCAAGCTCTGGCTGGAACCTCTAGTCACTTTCTATGTTGAATGAACTGTCCAGCTTCTGAGGCTTTGGAGAGACTTGCAGCCCCCAGGAGCACCTCCCAGGTTGGCTTCTCTTGAGTCTCTCCCCTGGATCAGTCAGGCACATTTGTCTGTGGGCTTCCTGTCTTCTATCAAAAAGCAAATTCACCTGTTATTTTATTCTCAAAGCAAGTTTATTCAGGAATAGCCAAAAGAATTGCAATTCAGGGTGTACACACTATGGCAAACCATAGGCAAACCTGGAAAACAAA